CCTCTATCTGACGGGACGAATCTGGAGCGATGACGAGCGGCTCTTTGTTGGTCCCCCCCCCCCCCCCCCCCCCCCCCCCCCCCCCACCCACATCTCTGACCCACTCAGGTGCTCAGCGGAGGAGGGGGCTTTATAAACACGCACCCTGTTTGGAGAGCGCGTGAAGTGGATCCACAGAGGAGGTTCTGGTTCCGGTTCTGAGTCCAGAGTCCGGGATGGCGGCACCGTTCAGTTTCTCTGTCCGGAGCATCCTGGACCTGCCGGAGGAGGCGCGGCGCTCCTCCCAGGGCTACTCCTCCTGCTCCTCCACCTGCTCCTGGACCCGCTGCGCCCGGAGTCCGTGTGCGTGTGAGTGCCTCCTCTTGGACCCCCCAGCAGATCCAGACGGTCCGGGTGTAACGCGGGTTTCTGTTTGTCTCCGCAGCTCCTCATGAGGCTCACCTGGAACCCTCCCCGGACTCCACCAAGCCGGACGAGCCCCCCACGGACGCAGGACCCGGGCGGGGCCGGAAGAGCAAGAAGCGTCGCGTGCTGTTCTCCAAGGCGCAGACCCTGGAGCTGGAGCGCCGGTTCCGGCTGCAGCGGTACCTGTCCGGTCCGGAGCGGGAGCAGCTGGCCCGGATCCTCAGCCTCACCCCCACCCAGGTCAAGATCTGGTTCCAGAACCACCGCTACAAGATGAAGAGGGGCCGGGGGGAGGGCGCGCTGCAGGAGCCGGACCCCCCGCAGCCCCCGCTGCTGCTGCGCAGGGTCGTGGTTCCGATCCTGGTCCGGGACGGGAAACCTTTCCACACCTGCGTGCTGGAGCCACACAAAGTGTCTCCGTCCCCCCCGGCGCACCTCCCCCTGCCCCCCCGCTGCCAGCACCTCCCGGCCTCCCGAACCGCCTGGACGGACTTTTGGAGCGACTCGGTTCGGTTCGGACCGTTCAAGTGAGCGCGTGAACAGTTCGGACTCAAACGTTTTTAATGTTTTCAAACATTTACTTTTTATTTTTACACTCAAAGAGGTTTTGCACAAATTATTCAAATGTTCGTTAAAACTTTTTATTGTTTTAAAATAAAAGAAGAAGATTTCCTCCGACATGAAGCTGCAGCTGCTTATTATTTTTTATTAATAATATTTTTATTAATAACTTGTAGTGAACAAACTTCTACTGAACATTATTACCTGATTTTTTTAAGGAAATATTTCAACTGTTTTGTATTAAATAATAAAAATTATATTTGAATAAGACTCCAGTGTTTTGTGTTTTTATCTATCTATCTATCTATCTATCTATCTATCTATCTATCTATC